GAGAGAGAGAGAGAGAGAGAGAGAGAGAGAGAGAGAGAGAGAGAGCAATGACCCCGCCGGGGAGAACAGGTCTTGATTTCAGAATTCCCCCAGTCTCCGATGCAGGCGGACCAAGGTGCCTGCCCACAATACCTGGTGTGATACCCCCTCACCCCTTTGCGCTTTTTGCTACCACAGTATTCCCCTTTTTTTCTGTGACCTTCTCTGAACTTCCACCCACCAGAACAGATGGGCAAGAGAGAGAGAGAGAGAGAGAGAGAGAGAGAGAGAGAGAGAGAGAGAGAGAGAGAGTGCGTGCGTGCGTGTGTGTGTGTGTGTGTGTGTGAAAAAAAAAGAAAACTTAGAAGTAGGACGTGACCGTAGTTAGGACCATAAGGTCCTGTTTTTTTGTTAAAAAAAAAAGAAAAAAAAAGGACGTCACCGTAGTTATTTCTTTTCTTCGGGGGAAGTTTCCTCACCGTGGCCGGTGCAGAGTCATTATTGTTCGCTTTATAGTGCGTAGCCGAGGGCCGCAGTGTCTTCTTTTTTGTTTTCCCACTTTTCCTCCTCTCAAGCCACCAGTACTTTGCCCCGGGCAACTGGAGAACCTGTTTTGAGCCTCTCCGAAAATTTAGGAGGAGGCCGAGCGCCATAGATAAAATAAATCAGTGGCGGGCTGCCTCCAAAAGGGGCCCACAGCCGATAGCTGGCATCTACTGGTGGTGCTTTAAGCCACCAGTCTGTTTCCGTGATACCTTGTTCTGACGTGCCCGTTACACCAAGTACCACATCGCAGTTCAGGCCTACCGGAGGGAAAAGGCTGATGGACGGCACCTGGTTCGCTCAGGCCCCTCAAGTGGCTGTGACATACTCTTAGTTTGACATAGGCACGGAAATACAAAGCGACGCCAGTGTCATGGTGTGAGTTTGGACATGCGCGAGTTTAGCCGGGTTCTTAAACTGCGCCACTCATTACCCTAAGTGGGCCCTTTTGGGGTCATAATTTAGGGTCCCCTTTTTTTTTATCCATAATTTCGGGAACTGCTGAAGTTTGCCTATTTTCTGAACATACGGTGTGAGTCCGTGCGACTCCACCGTAAGTCACACCGTACTTGCCCAATTGTTTTTCTTTTGTATCGCCAGCCAGCACAGCGCATCTGAAGGCAGGCTGTGAAGTCTTGAGCATCGCATGTGCCCACTACCTAAAACGTCTATGACTTGTACACACTCGGCGAGGTAAGCAACCAGATGTTCTCGGAGGCCAGGCTGGCTATATCTGAGGTCGGGACCTTTATTTAGTCCGAGGTGTCTGGAGTCGGCGGGGACAACAAACATACATAGCTGCTTCCAGATGCATGTGCGGGAGAAGCCAAGGGTTCGAAATTCGAATACATGTGCGGAGAGATAAGAAAGGGAATTGTACACGCAGCTGCTTCACGCTGAAAGACAAAATACTTTGTCTTTCAGCGCGAACTACAACTCGTCCCACAGCTTTACGCTACACAATATCTCTTCATCGTCACTCGCATCTCGTCCAGCAGCAGGAAGACGTTTTGACGCGAAGAATGTGCCAGCAGGGGAGGAGGGGGCAAGCTCTCAGCCAGCAGCGATTCGCCTCAGGACTGCCGCAGAGTGCGCGCGACCCCTCTAATCGAGTCCAATGCAATAGATTCCTCACCGCCCTCTAATTGTCATCGAGAAAGAATCCCAGGGAGTGCAACACAGAGAGAGAGCAGACGGTTCTGAGGTTCGGCCGCATCTTACCCTGAAGCGGAGATGTCTACGATGTTCCCAGTGACTGAGGCAGAGAAGTCACAAAACAGGACGACAACAAGAAGGCAGCACTGTAGGAAAAGGGCAGGCAGGCACAGTGTGCAGAGACACACAGCAAGAACAAAGTCAGCACAACTCTGCGTGAGAAATTCGGACAAGTGCGTCCGTAAGAGTAAGTAATCTATCTGTGTCTCTACACGCTGTGCCTGCCCGATTGGCTCTCAAGTCCTTGCAAGCAGATTACCCGGCCGTACGCCTGCACACCTATCATGGGCCCGCATAGAGCTCTGGCAAAACTAGGTACGCAGGGCGCCGCTACACACTGGGCTTCTGTGCACTGTGCAGTTCTCCCGCTCTCGGAGATGTACGCATAGACATACGTACATTTATATAACATAGCAAGGGAGAAGCCTCTCAGGGAGCCCTCGGCTTCTCTGCACTTCTCCCCCTCTGCTCTATGTACACGTCGACGTACGGACATAGAGCATAGTCAGCGAAAAAGCCTTTCAGGAAGACCCACCCGATGTACATTGCTCAATCAGACCTTGTAGCGCGGCGAGGAGGCCTTAGGACCAGCCCCAAGAGCCTTAGTGTAGTAGCCCAGGGAAGGGCATGCCATGATTGGCACTGAAAGTACCATAGTGGAACGACACACCCATCCAGTATCATCATGGCATGCCCTTCCCTGGGCTGCTACACAAATAGACGTGAGCAAATATCCCAGGGGGACTAGTATAGACCTAACACAAATAGACGGAAGCAAATATCCCAGGGGGCTATAGACCTACAAAAATAGACGCGAGCAAATATCGCAGGGGGCTTTAGACTTGCACAAATAGACGGAAGCAAATATCCCAGGGCCATTATCTCCAAATCAAAAAACTGTCGAACCCTTAAGACCAGAGATGATCGGGGAAAGAGGAGGGGTGCGTAGCATACTGGATGAGATGGCCACACCCAGCCAGGGCCATAATGGGCTAAAGACCTATGCACATAGCCATGAGCAAACGCCTGATGCCCGTCAGCTGATGTTCAATCAACCCTCGGCCGAGATTATCGGGGATGGAGGAGGGGTGATCAGCAATCAGCAGGGATTCCAAAACACACAGCCAGGTCATCAATCGTCGTCCCCCGCCTTCCATCCCTCCGTCAGAAGGCGGCAGTGCAGGGAGGGCGGTGGTCACAAATTCCTCGCATGCTAGATAACGATAACAATTTCCCCGGCTGATCGAAAAGAACGGGTATCCCTACTATCCAATGATGGGCAATAAGGACTGTTTGAAAAAAAAAAAAAAACCTGGTTGGAACTTGGAACCACAAATCATGAATAAGTTTTCAAAAAAAAATGAAAAATCCCACAGTGTGTTGATTGGTGTGAAAGAAAAGAAAAGAAGACTTCCTCCCCTGTCTGATCACAACTTGTTCTCCCTATCGACAAGTTCTTTTTTTTTTTTTTTTTTTTTTTTTTTTTTTTTT